TCACGTACCGGCGGTAAAGAAGAGGTCTTTAGGAAACCTGCATGTCTGAAGTCTGAACATAAAAATATTTCGAAGTCATGTGACCACTGGAGTGGTGCAGCTGACTAATAGCTCCATAAACCCTCTCCAGAAGTGAGAGGACTGTGCCGAGCAATGAGACGTATTTTCACTTTACTTTAATTTTATTAGCGTAGTCAATGATCATTAACAATTCCATAATGTTATTTTTCTTTTTTTCCTACTCACTTCATTAGTTTTTCCTTTTGTTTAGTTTACAAATATAAATTGCACAAGAACATCCAGACCCGGAACAATAATTTGTAGGCCATACAAATACTTGTTTCGTGCGAGATTCAAACCCGCGGCTTTCGGCACCGCAACTCAATACTTAGCCACTGGGCCACGGAGAGGTCAGCGGTTGGGGTATTCTATACACCACTAGAGATCCTCCACGGCTTCGCACGGGTAATTTTTGGATCTCGACAACACCGCCACCTAAACCAGGTTCAAATGTAAATCTAAGCCGTATAGGGACTTAGTACCTGGATGACCGAGCTTTCCTCGGTATTTTTTTAGAAATCGTGTGGTTTGGAAATTATATTTAGATATAAATTACATACTGATGAAACGTGAACAATATTTTTTGATCTTATTGACATAATAGAAAAAACTGAACTGGTTATTTGAATAAAAAAGGGCTCGAAATAATAGATTTTCTCACAAAAGAAGGGAACTTGAAAAAAAAGGAAAAAAGTCGGACCGAAGACAGGACGCGAACCAGGGCACCTCGATTTCGCGACCGCCGGATATCCCACATGAGCTATTACGATCATTAATACATTGTCACAATTTACCTTCTTATATTGTAGCAGTTTTTCATTGCTTAAAAACACGGACATAACGACATTTTCTAAAAATGAATCCTAGCTAGATCGATTTATTGCCCCCGAAACCTCCTGGACACTAAATTTTATGAAAATCGTTGGAGCCGTTTCCGAGATTCCGATTATATATATATGCTCTTTTAAAGGTATAGGATTCGAATCTACACAAAAATTTCATCAAAATCAGTCGAGCGAGACTAATATACAGCAATTAATTGTTGTATATAGGAATGGAGAATTTACTGCAAAAAAAAATTATTTCTATTTTTATAGCTTAATTTACTAGTCAATAAATTGCTTAGACAATAAGCAAAATGCAAACTGCATGTTATAAACGAATGCGCAAGCCTTATGTATTCAAAAAACATTTTTTAAATCGCAGTCCACTATAAACTACCGATAATAATTGTTGTATATAATAATATATTTCCATGATTTTACTTATATTTCCAATTGAACTATTTTTCGATTTATTATCTATTTATAAAAGATTAAGTATTTAGCACTGCTGACCATAGGCCTCCACCAATGGCTGTTGTGGAATACGATCCTGAGCCATATGCAGCCACAGATTTTCGCATATCTGATCAAGTCACTCCATGTAATTGGGAGCCGCTCAACTCCGTTTAAAAATATCCGTGAAGCGGAGTGTACTAAAATACTGCCAATTATGTAATTAAATAAGTTCATATATTCGTAAAAGAATATTGCTGTGACCTAACCCTAATACTTAATAAACTTTCTCATTACTATCGATATCTTTTATGTTGGTCGATGACATCACTACTCCGCTAGGCGACGCAGAGACGAGCAATTTCGCGGTATATCCCTTGAACCGCAATAACCTTTTACTTTGAGTACATCCGACTACGTCGGGGGATATTGAACGATCCGACCCGTATTACCCTTCACGTGATGCTTCAATCTTTTCGTATTTCGATACCCTCATGGAAATTTTTAGTTCGTATTTTAGGGAAGTTTCGACCGCATGACTGTGCGGTCAATACACCACACCTAAGTACAGTGATTTACAAAAGTCTACTTTATCCAAGCGGTAAAATTAAAAAATTTGTTCAACCAACTTCAATATAATTAAAATGAGAACATCTCAATGTATTCGAAGTCAATTAAATACGCACTATTAAAGATAACTCAAAAACTGCTTTTCGGATCTTGATTAAATTTGTAATTATTTATAAATATATTTATAAATATTTATTAGTGTGGTTCCACAAGAAAAGCACCAGCTTTCACATAAAATAAGAATCATCAAAATCAGTTTACCCAGAGAAAAGTTACTTATGAGGTAACATGACATAAAAACATACAGTCGAATAGAATATATTCTCCTTTGTGAAGTCGGTAAAAAAGCGAAAAGTGCGGGCATACAGTTTACTTAGGTACCTAGATCTTGTTTTTTATAGAATAAGGCCTACTGTCCATGGCGGCGTAGCTTCGTAGACGCGTATTCGTCATTATTACGCCTGCTTGCAGCTTATATATACAAAACTATGTAACTCTTTCGACGGAGCGGCAACGTCGCGCTCGCGTCGCTGCATGCAGGCTTCATGGCGCCTGCCGTAACCAGTGTTGCCGTTTTAGCGACTTTCTCGCTAGATCTAGAGTATTTTAACAAAGTTTAGCGGTTATTTGTTTTTAAAAGTAATTCATTTAAGTAATTCATTCAAATAAGTCATTTATCATATGTCCAATTTTGTAATCTACCGTTGGTAACACATACAGTGTTACCTATATAATATAATTTCACGAGAATTCCCGATCATAAACTACCAATTTAATGTCGTTCATTCACTTTCATCTGTTTCGACCTTAGACCATGGTCTCGTTTCGACATACAAAAATGCAGCAGGAGTAAACATACTCGAAGATTTATTTAATTTTGCAATAGTAATATTATCACTACCGCAGTCAAATGCAGAATTTGAACGCGTATTTGGTGCTATGAATGTAGTTAAGAGAAAACCGCGAAACAAGCTATCAGAAAAAACTTTACTATTCTTCTGATTAGAAATCAGTTAGGGATTTAAAAAAGAATTGCGCAACAAATGATATTCCCGAAGATGTTGTCAACCAAGTCGATAAAGGCAAAGCAAAGATGGGAACTGGAGACACTGGCGAAGCTTCAACTTCCGCTGAAGTTGTTTTTGAAGATCTGGATCCATAATTTGCTATTAATTTAGATATTTAGGTACAAGAACCTACTGAGCTAATTGTTTTATTTTTAATAAGATGACTAATGTTTAAACGTGGTTTAAAGATTTAAGATTTATTTTTTTTACAATTTATTTTTTTTATTTTGTACATGAATAATTTTTGTTTTGGTGTCATATTAACCTACACTATAAATAACTGATTTATATGAAATAGAGTCCGCTCGAATCGAATTCGATGTCGAATTTATAGATTTAGATTTTCGGTATTCATTGACCGTTTGGCAAGATTTTTCAGTTAGCCCAATGGTACCACAAAATATACCTAGGGACATCTAGCGGATTTTAAGAAAAAGAAAAATTCTGTTTCTGGTGGATTTTTTCTGTTAGTCTAGGGACATTAAAATTTGTAGAACGGCAACCCTGGCCGTACCGCATGTCATACGCTCGAGCGTACATCGAGTGAGCGCACGTGTTTATTTTCGTAAAAATGGCGGCAGCGGCCGCGAAATTTGTTCAGATAATAGAAAAATATCCATGTTTATACAACAATAATTTAGCTGAATATTCTAGAAAAGATTTAACTGAAAAGCTTGGAGTGCGGTGGCGAATGAAATACAATGGACGAGTGAGTATCGACTTTATTTATTTTGTACTTAAATACTTAACATTTATTCAATTATGCAATTATTCCACTGCCATGGCAGAGCGACATTAGGCTGTAAAAAATAATTTGCTAAATAATTACGTAAACCGTTTGGTGTATTTACAAATGTCATGTTCGGTATCAAAATTGGTGCACGATGAATATTGGAACTATTTGAAATGTTTGCAGTACTTGTGTATTGAACACCATCATATCTCCGTATGTAATTATGCAAAATACATGCGCACTGTACTATTGAAATTATTGTTGATTATTTACGGCACGATATAGCTTTCAGTAGTACTTGAAATTTTTGTGTCAACATTCCAAAAACACATTCAATACTTTTGCGTCCGCGACTTAACCTATAATTGTAAATTCTTTTCACATTATCCAGATTTCTAACTGAATATGGTCTCAATAAATTTTTCCTCAAAGGGAATGCATTATCTTCCACAAAGTAGTAAGGAAAACGATTGCCAGTGGCATCATTTGGCAATGGTGTTAATTTAGTTGGGTTGCTTAAACCTTCCCTTTCCAACCAGTGCCCAAGCGCTGATACTTGGAACACGCCCCCGTCACTTTTCCGTCCCGCAAATCCACATTCAATGCTCGTAAAATATCCATCTGCATCACAGCATCCAAGCAAAATAATAGAATGGATACCCCTTATAATTGTAGTTGGCTGAACCTGTATTTCTGTATCCTGATGTGCTTACCGTCAATAGAACCCAAGCAATTGGGTAGATTCCAAAGTTCATAATACTTTTTCGCAATTTCTTTCCATTCATCAGTAGTTGGTACAGGCATGTACGTATCCTTCAATGCATTCCATTAATATGGAATGCATTGAAGGATACGTACATCCTTCAATGCATTCCATATTAATTTTCCATTCCATATTATTTTAGTCGTTTCTGATATTACGCATGACAATAAATTATATTTTGTTTATTTTATTATCAGTTTATTGTGCACAAAATACATCAGAGCTATTTTGTCAGTTATCAATGAAAGCGATGGTCACTACATCTAGATTACGTACTACGAATTGTCAAAACGTCGTCTTGGTACTAGTTATCGTCGGTTACCAACTAGAATGATGAAACGTAACATCTAAACATTTCATAGTCCGTAATTTAGGTGTAGTGAGTATCGTTTTTGTTTTTGATTGAGTTTAATAGCCCTGCACGTAAATTTTTTAAATATATATTTGTGAATAGAAAATCCTCAAGTTAGTACCTAAGTAATTAGATGTAATGAAAATCTGTTTGTTTCAGTAAACGATTGTAAGGAAAAATGGAAAATATTAGAAACGGTTTTGTTCGAAGTTTAAAACCGAAGGCTAGTGAATCGGCTACCACCAGAAAAAAACACTATTTGCACGATGAGATGCAGTTTATATTACCATACGTAAAAAAAGTCATTCACATTGAAGAAAATGGAAATTTACCAAATCCTGAATTATCGCCTCTCAGTCAGGAACCTGCGTCCACCAAAGAGCGGGACGTTGATTCTAACAGGAATATTACGGAAGAAACTAATTCAGAAACTCTTTCCCATGTTGAAAAGCCGTCGTCGTCGTTCCAAAAACAAAAAAAAAACCGAATTAAACCTGTTAATAACGAAGCTGATAAGGCTTTTGTGGACTGGCTAAAAACCAAAAAACCTAATGAAGATGATCCACGAAAAATGTTCCTTCTGAGCTTGCTACCCGACATACAAAGTCTTTCAGATGAACAAATGAGCGCCTTTAGAATAAAAGTGTTGATTCTTCTAGAATAAATTAAAAAACCAACGTCTTCAGTAATCCAGTCACAGCTGCTTTTTTTGCACTCCAATTGTCCCATCCATACCTTCTCCAATAAATTATTCCACCGACTCACAAGTTTTCTCTGGGTATTCACAACCACAAGCTTTAACACTGACCCCTATTAATTATTCCCAAAATATTAACGATTTTGAAGATTTTGCAATAGAATAAACATGATATACATGTCCATTTTTCAACTGTGATTTTGCATGATAATTAAATAAAAAATATTTTAATTAAAATTGTTTTACTTACCGCAATGTTATTAATATCCTTTCATCTGGGCTGACACATTCTCGCATATTGGTGTTTTGTTTTTGTAACAGAGGGGCTACGATTTGCAGCAAATTCTGTTAAGTAGTTTTACTCATTCTATAGAATGAGTAAAACTACTTAACAGAATTTGCTAGATAGTGTATTTATATTAATAGAATGAGTAAAATACACTATCATCTAATAATTCTCTTGCCGCAACAAACAATCTACAGTTGATATTTTTTTTTATATATGGATGCACCCAATATAATCGACGTCTTCGGCGTCGAATGTAGTAATAAGCCAAAATAACGTCTTCTTCGTTCGACGACATTCTCACAAATGATTGTAAACGTACGCTAGCAATGCGCCTCGTAGAGAGAGTTGAGTACGCTGGGCTGCACAAGCTGCACGGCGTATTTTGAAGCGTCTATGAAGCTATGTCTCCGTGGACAGTAACGTTAAGTGTAACAAACGAGCATTCGGTCCACCTGATGGTAAGTGGATGCTAAGGCCCATAGACATCTACATCTATCATCATCTATCTATTAAGAATCAAAATGCAGATGCGTTGTCAGCTGTCACCCCTGAGCACTAATATGGAATGCCTCGTTTCCAGTAAAAAGGTATCCGGTTCTCTACACTCACTATACGAAGCACAGCAGTACTAAGCTACTATTTTACGCTGGTAATCTGTGAGATCGTGGTCTTACCCCCGTCGGTCATTCGTACTACAACCATAATATAGCTGCAGTGTGGCTCTACTACATCTCTTTATTTTATTATTATAATCTATAATCTATCAATACTAATATTTGTAAACCTTAATGCAATGGCTTAAAGTTCAAGATGTTTTTATAACAACAATACAATATCTAACTGTTCAGTATGTGACATAAACCTTTCTGCTTCTTCTGTAAGAACTATTGCAAATTACCGTACATATCATACATTACATCTTAGTCCTCAGGGCTGACAACGCACCTGTGGATTTATTTGTTTAAATTTTGTTGCAGTTGGTACAGTAGCCAGTAAGGTTTGTCAATTTAGTCTTATATAAAAAAAAAACGGATGGGGCTGTGTCGGGGCACACGACCGTTGGTTTAATGTGAAAAGTCTATACTAGCGTGACGTGTTTAGTGTTAGAAAGGACCCCTTCCCCGCCAACCCGTTCAGCCCTGATGCAAACTCAAGGTCGTAACAACGAGCTGACTAAATAAGTTAAGTAATGACACTTCTTTTAGGTCTCTCAAGACTAATAGTCTTGTAATTATTAAGGCAAAACGATATAGACCTTTTCGATACGGTTCACTTTCCTACACGTATTAGTACGGTTTAAAAATACCATTGTTCTGAAGTAAACGAGAGCAAAGCCTGACCATGTGTAGTCGACAGTAAAGCCCGATCTCTCTCGCTGTGTTTGAGGTGTGCAAAAGAATAAAAATGCAGATATGTATGTTGTTAGTTGCTACTCCTGAGGCTTGAGACGAAATAGATACCTCGTTATCAGGAAAAGTTTCCGGTTATCCTCACTTACTATACATAACTGCAACCCCCCTCTATTTCTTACTTCACCCTCACAGAATCGACACAAACTCTACGGCCAACAATGCAATGCTCGTTCAAGCACTCGATAGTTATCCGTAAGTGAGGCAATTTTATTGTTTGATTCTCAGATAGATTCCATTTTCTAAGGTTTGCTTATTGTACCTTATCTTTTAACAATGAAAAATGCAGTGGAAAAAACTTTTACCTTTACGTTGGTCAACGTCACGGTTGATAAGCAAGCTGCAAATAAACAGTTTGTAATCGCAAAAAAAATATTTTTTTTACTTGATATAACTACAAATTTACGGTTTTCGGATTTTTCCTTGACTTGTGCAGTGAAACCTTGCTTCATTTCTAATTTCATGATCAAGTTTTGATGCATGAGTTTGTGAGAATCAAAATATGTGGCTTAAATGGTCATATTTTATAAATGCTTTGACATAAAAGCTTAAATTTTTTACCTTTCCAAGGGACCATAGACCTGAGTACTTGATATTAAATTTGACGCCGTTGTCTGTTCCTGAGAAAAAGAGACTTGATAGACGGTCAGATAAACGGGCAGATAGGCAAACAGACGGACAAAAAGTGGGCAAATGTGGTTTTGCCAGTCTTGATCTGACAGGTCTGAAATCGCTTCTTCGTAAGCAACCACGGCTTCTTCGGCGCTTGATAAAAACTTGCCTTTTATTTTTTCTTTTACTCTCGGGAACAAAAAGAAATCACAAGGAGCTAAGTCAGGGCCGTAGGGTGGATGACTTAGATTTTAACACCAGATTCCTCAATAAATGCTTTTGTTCTGAGGGGGGTATGTGAAGAGGCGTTATCGTATCGAAGCCCGGTATTCAGTTTTCTCTCCCGCACAGCTTGAAAAGCTTTGGGCAATGCAACTGTAGTATACCACTTTGTAAGGGGTTCAGTTTTATTATTTTGAGATACGGAACCACAAAAATTACTCGACTCTTAGGTCTGGAAATAGGTTGTATATAAATGTCTCATTTCACGAGTACGTCCTCAACTAGACTGCCCGCGGTTACATGCCGTCGTTATTCAATTTACCGGCTTTTGAGGGAATCCATGCGCAAGGAAATATTTTTCTATAGAGAATTTCCTTTGAAAATTGCATTCTCTATGTAACGAGGTTCTTAAACAACAACAAATTTTTTGATAGAATCAGGCGTTACTTTGCGGAAATCCATTATAATAAAAATATTAATTATTTTGCAACCTTCCGCTAACTAAATACAATGATGTGTCTTACCTGGATTGAAGAGCACCTCCCGCCCTCCCTCAATTGTGTGCACTAACTCCGTCACCACTATTCCCAGCACCACTACTCCCGGCACCACTACTTCCAACACCACTATTCCAGGTAAGACACACCATCGACGATAATACGACACGTGTTTCGCCTCTACACGAGGCTTCCTCAGGTGATGTAGACTCTACGGCGACTGACCGCTAAGCAGCAACAACAAGCTAACAGATTTTTTTTACTTTTTTTATTAACCTATGCTTTATTTTCATACATATATAACATTAATAGCTTATTTCGTGTGCGAAACGCAAATTATTAACTCCTAGCAGTCCCCATGGCTTCGCACGGGTGACTTCTGGATCTCGACAACAGCGGCACCTACCGGGCCCAATTGCAAATCCAAACCATCCAGGGTCCAATTCAAACACACACAAAACATTTCATAAAGGTTGGTAGTTGGTGGAGACTAACCGACAGCAATTGACTTTTACTTAGAGAGATAAACAAAATTGTCATAAAATATTTTGACATGTATGGGTGACAACGCATCTACATTTTGATTCGTAATCGAGGATAGATGTAGATGTCTATGGGCCACAGCAACCACTTACCATCAGGTGGACTGTGTGCTTGTTTATCACCCTATCCTATAAAAAAACGAGCACACTGGTGGTAAGTGGATGCCGTGGCCCATAGACATCTACATTTATCATCAATTAAGAATCAAAATGCAGATGCGTTGTCAGTTCTGAGGACTGACATTTAAAAAAAGCGTTTCGCGTTCTCTACACTCACTACACGAAACACAGCAGCATTAAGCTGCTATTTTACGCTGGTATTCTGTGAGAGCGTGGTCCTTCCCCGGTCGAGCTGACCCATTCGTACTGCAACCACAATATAGCTGCAGCGTGGCTCTACCACGTAATGTTATAAAATATTTTTCGATACTCAAAGTTGCAAGCTGTATTTTTATTTTTACTCGTGACGATAACGACATTTCCCTCTCAGAGGCACGTTGTTTCAGTTCTCTAGTTTCACACCCTTAGCGCTACACAAAATGTATACAGATTAACAGATTATATATAATGGAACCGTAAAAGATAATCCAACGCTTGTTCAAACATTCGTTTGTTTACAAGAAACTGTTATCTTTTGATGAGTCAATTTCATCGTTTGGTTTCTTTTCTTATCATTTTATTTGACGCACAAAGATAAAGATAAAAGAGAAGTGAATTCAATATGGCAGTCAGTTTTCGTCGTAGATAATTGTTTAGGACAGAAACAATGTTCTTTAAGAATAATATAATGCAAGGATTAAAATACTTTAGAAAGAAAGAAAAACATAACACACATTAATTCGTGGTTACACGTCGGTAAATACAAGTTTATGAGTGGTAATATCGTCATCATTTCAAAAATTTACTGTTGAACATTGGCCTCCCCCAAGGAATGCCACAAAGCACGGTCCTGAGCCACCTGCATCCATCGACTTCCTGCATGTCTTACTAATTCGTCACTCAATTTATGGGGGGTGGGGGGCGCCGTAAACTTCGTCTCCCGGTACGAGGTTGCCACTCAAGAACCTGTCTACCCCATCGGCTGTCGGTTCTTCGAGTTATATAGCCGGCCCATTGGCCATTCCAGCTTACTAAAAATATAATAACAATAATGTAACAATAAAAATAGTATGATATTTTATCTAAGCATTGTACACTCATTTCAAGTGGGTTGTGTATAGGAATATCAGATGGGAAAATATCTGGAAAATGTTTTAAAATGTCGGGATAATGGGGTTGTTGTCGGGAGAAATAAATATTAAAAGTAAAGTTTATTTTTTAAATTAATAGGCTACGAAAGTACTTAACATTATTAACACATAAATAATTTAAGTACACTTAATTTTTCGGTTGCCAC